ATGTTCTAAAGGGAAAAATAGTCCCACCAAGAACAAAGATTCATCACTTACGAGGAGCTAAGGGGTTCTTAGTTCACTGACAACTGTGTTCTGTTTCTTAGGCATCAGTGACCCCATCTTAAATGACCAAGTGGACTCTGATAGTGCTTCTGAAGGTTGGACCCTGAATTTAGAGAAAAGATGTTGTTTTCAGGATATCTTTTACACCTACAACCATTCATTGAGACTTCCCAGAGGGACCCCAGAGAATCCCACAGGCCATTCATCTTCTAAAAAGAGAGATTATGTAGTTAGTCAGCTATGTTTGACGTGTTACTGTGGGAAGAGCAGCTGTCCCAAGAGGTGCTGGCTCAGGCTTCCTTGGTTTAGTTTACAGGAAAGTGTAACACTCATGTGAGTGTTGCAGAAACTCTGTGCTCCGTGGGGACACCGTTGCTGTCCATAATCTGTTTATTCTCAGGGGAGCACAGATCACAAGAGACTCTGACCCTCTTCTGTCTGCTCTTGTTACAGAAATCCATGAGTCACTGCTGGCAGGCCCTGCCCTCTAGAGGTGACTCGGGGCTTTGTGGTGTGTATCCCCAGTAGAGGACAGACTCAGAGCATCATGCAAGCGATTATACCGGACACTCTGAACTAGTGCTACTGCAAAAACAGGCTTTGGGGCTCTCCTGGCTTAAGAAGCTCAGAGCTGCGCCTGGCGCTCAGGTCAGGGTCTCCTGGCTCTTCTGGAGGCAGGCAGTGGGGGTGTGGCCACGACGGGGACCTGCTGGTTCGCTTACAGTGATGCTGACATGGTGTTTGTTCCCTAGATAGACGAGGAGCCTTTCTCTTCCTGAAACTCTCTGTAGCCCATACACATCTGTTAGATGGAACGGACATCTAGTTGCCCCTGACAGAATTCTTAAGTTTCCTCATTTTGTGTGGTGCCTCAACAGTAAAGAACTCACCTGCAATGCAGCAGACCTGGGTTTGATCCCTGGGTCAGGAAGATCTCCTGGAGGAGGAAATGGCAACCCACTCCAGTATTCTTGTGTGGGAAATCCTTAAAGACAGAGGAGCCTGGCAGGCTACAGTCTATGGGGTTTTAAGCAGTCGAACATGACTTAGGAACTAAATAACAATAGCAAACCGTTATTTGCATAGGTTCAAAATGAAGCTTTTTTCAAACTTTTTTCATTGTGGTGGAATAGATGCAAAATTATATAAATATATATATTATCATTTTATGTGTGCAGCTCAGTGGCATGAATAAGAAATTAGTAATTCTCTAGAAACGGACATGATTTCTCGTGTAAGTGGAGCCAGTGTGTGTCTTTCTGCGTCTGCCTTCTTTCATTCTGTGTGACATCCTCAGCGTTCCTCCACGTTGCCACAGGTGCCACCGTTTCCTCATTTTTTGTATGTGGGGGAATGCCTGTCCATGCACACTGAGGCACCCCACCCCACTGTCCTGTCCAGAGCCCTGCCGTCGTCCCACCCAGGCCGCTGTCCACCTTCTGCCCTGGGGTCTGACTCCTGTCACTTGGCAGAGTGTCTTCCAGGTCCCACGTGCAGCAGGTGCCAGGATTTCCTTCTTAGGCTGAATGAGACTCACTGTGATGGGCACGGTGTTCGTCTGCGTACCTGTCGTGGACATTTGCGCTACTGTCCTTTGTTCTTTTTACTGGGATGTAGTTGGGTGGACTCTGGGAGTTGGTGATGGACCGAGAGGCCTGGTGTGCTGCGGTTTGGGGTTGCAAAGAGTCAGACACGACTGAGCGACTGAACTGAACTGAGTGTAATTTGACAAATCAAGAGCCTTCCTGGGAATGTCCTATCTCTGAATAGTGCTGTGTGATCCACTGTGATATGCCACTTGTCTCAGAACTGAGCTGCCTTTTAGGGAGCGAAGCCTGCAGAGCCCCCTGGCAAAGCCAGTCTGGGCCAAGGGTCCCCGCCTGCCATGATGGAAAGGAAGGTTGCCTCCTGCAGGCCAGGGAACCTGAGATGATCGGAGTGCCCGGGACTGAATATACAAATGGATGGTTACAAAGCAGCCTGCCCGGTCCTCACCCACAGTGACCAGTCACCCACTCACACAGAGTGACCAGCCCAGGGAGGTCAAGTCAGACTGCTCTTTGGGATAGTCCAGATGCAATCGCTGATAGCTCCCTAATTTTCATTCCTATCTGTGATGTGCAGCCAGGCTGGCCATCACATAGATGGCCCTGGCCAGCAGGCCCCCAGGTCTCTCCACAACTGCCCCACAGAACTGCCCCCGCCCCCACTTTGTCTACCATGTTTGAGTGTCTGATCAGTATCTCTAGTCCCCGACCAGGCTTCCTTTTCTCTAGACAAGTCCCACACGTTTAGAGGTGCTGCAAGTGGTGGACCCTGTAAGCGTTGCTTCACCTGTCTCCTGCCCTCAGGGTGACAGAGTCCAGCCCGAGCTTCCTGGTGAAAATTTCCAGACAGAAGGTGATCTTGTGGCCTTTTGTTGTTCAGTCGCTCAGTTGTGTCCGACTCTTTGCAACCCCATGGCTGCAGCATGCCAGGTTTCCCTGTCCTTCACCATCTCCTGGAGCTTGCTCAAACTCATGTCCATTGTGTCGGTGATGCCATCCAATGATCTCATCCTTTGTCGTCCCCTTCTCCTGCCCTCAATCTTTCCCAGCATCAGGGTCTTTTCTAAGGAGTTGGCTCTTCATATCAGGTGGCCAAAATATTGGGAGCTTTAGCTCCAATGAATATTGGATGAATATTCCAATGAATAGTCCAGTGAATATTCAGGACTGATTTTCTTTAGGATTGACTGGTTGGATCTCCTTGCAGTCCAAGGGAATCTCAAGAGTCTTCTCCAACACCACAGTTCAAAAGTTTCCATTCTTCAGCGCTCAGCTTTCTTTATGGTCCAACTCTGACATCCATACATGATGACTGGAAAAACCATAGCTTTGACTAGATGGACCTTTGTCAGCAAAGTTATGTTTCTGCTTTTTAATATGCTGTCTAGGTTGGTCATAGCTTTTCTTCCAAGGAGCAAGCGTCTTTTAATTTCATGGCTGCAGTCACCATCTGCATTGGTTTTGGAGCCCAAGAAAATAAAGTCACTGTTTCCATTGTTTACCCATCTATTTGCCATGAAGTGATGGGACCGGTTGCCATGATCTTTGTTTTTTGAATGTTGAGTTTTCAGCCAGCTTTTTCATTCTCTTTCACCTTCATCAAGAGGCTCTTTTATTTCCTCTTCGCTTTCTGCCATGAGGGTGGTGTCATCTGCATATCTGAGGTTTATTGATATTTCTCTCTGCAGTATTGATTCAAGCTAGTGCTTCATCCAGCCTGGCATTTCGCATGATGTTCTCTGCATATAAGTTAAATAAGCAGGGTGACAATATACAGCCTTGACGTACTCCTTACCCAGTTTGGAACCAGTCTGTTGTTCCATGTCCAGTTACAACTGTTGCTTCTTGCCCTGCATACAGGTTTCTCAGGAGGCAGGTGAGATGGTCTGTTATTCCTACCTCTTGAAGAATTTTCCACAGTTTGTTGTGATCCACACAGTCAAAGGCTTTAGCATAGTCAATGAAGATGTTTTTTTCTGGAATTCTCTTGCTTTTTCGATGATCCAGTGGATATTTGCAATTTGATCTCTGGTTCCTCTGCCTTATCTAAATCCAGCTTGAACATCTGGAAGTTCTCAGTTCAGGTACTGTTGAAGCCTGGCTTTGAGAATTTTGAGCATTACTTTGCTAAGGTGTAAAGTGAAGTGAAGTCGCTCAGTCGTGTCCGACTCTTTGCGACCCCGGGGACTGTAGCCTACCAGGTTCCTCCGTCTGTGGGATTCTCCAGGCAAGAATACTGGAGTGCCTTGCCATTTCCTTCTCCATTGCTAGGGTGTGAGATGAGTGCAATTGCGTGGTAGTTTGAACATTCTTTGGCATGCCTTTCTTTGGGATTGGCATGAAAACTGACCTTTTCCAGTCCTGGGGCCACTGTGGAGTTTTCCAAATTTGCTGGCCTGTTGAGTGCGCACTTTAACAGTAGCATCTTTTAGGATCTGAAATAGCTCAGCTGGAATCCCATCACCTCCACTAGCTTTGTTCATAATGATGCTTCCGAAGGTTCCCTTGACTTCACACCAGGATGTCTGGCTCTAGGTGAGTGATCACACCATCATGGTTATCTGGGTCATTAAGATCTTTTTTGTATAGCTCTGTGTATTCTTGCCATCTCTTACATATTCTGCTCCTGTCTCCTGGCAATGAACTGGTTTTCTGTTCTGTTTTTAACCTCCTGTGTATGTAGGAACCATATGGAATTGCCAAATTTTGACTTTTTGCCCTATAAAGTTCATTGGGTTTAGCCTGATACTGGGTATAAACAGATGTGTGCTGTGCATACATTTTAAAATGGGTTGTTCTGTTGAGACTGCTCTGCAGACACTTGTTACTCTGTTTGGGTGTCTCTGTGATGCACACAGAGTCTGTTTTTTTATATTTTGCACGTCAGGGGCATAATCTTCGAAGGTTCAGTCCAGTGAGCTTTCATCTACGCAGTTGTTTAGTGTGGAATCAACACCATCCCGAAGCCTTCATCTTCCAGTGACTGTCAGACATTCTTTCTCCTCCTGTCACGCACCTTTCTGTGCAGCCACGGTGCCTTGGGGCCGGCAGCTGGGTAGTGTCTGCAGTGGGACAGATCCATGGCAAAGTCTAGGAACTGCTCGTGGAGGAAGCCCAGCGCTCTCAGTGTTCACTTAGAAACTCTGGGAGCCAGATGGCCTTGCCTGCCTGACCAGTGAGCTCAGGGTGGGAGGCTGGACCTGAGGTGGGGGGGCGGTCTTGGTCTCAGTTACGAGGAAACTCAGGTCTGTGGCCCGGGGTGCAGATGAGGGGAGCCAGGGCCCAGACGACTCCCTGTTCTTCCCTGCGGGGTCCCATGTTCACCCTGCATGTCCTCTTCCAGGCCTCCATCCCAGAACCCTGTGAGCCGGAGCCCGCGGAGCTGCACAGGCCATGGATTTGAAGGTCAGATGCTGAGGTGGTCATGGCGGGGGTGGGGCGGGCCTGCGGGAACCAGAGCACACAAGCCCCGTTTGCTCACTGCCTGTGCCTGGTCCATCCTGGAAGGCAAGATGGGTTCAAGGATGTAGGGTCCTTGAGGGTTCAGAAGGGAAACTGTGGCTGGGCCGATCAGGAGCTCTCGTCCATCTTCCCACCGTGGCTGGGTTGGGTAGTGTCTTGGGATGCTCCCCCCCCCCCTCCCGTCCCCAAACTGGGCCCTCCTGATGACTTGTGAGCTCGGGCCAGCTTTCTGAATCTGAGCAGATGGGTGGGGGTGGGGTGGGCTTGGCATTGTGCAGGCACGGGGTCATGTGCTTCTCAGCCTGGCGGCTCAGGAGGCATGTCAGCCACTCAGGCAGGAGCCTTCAGGGAGCTGCCCCCATACAGCTTTTCCCGATGGCCTCAGGGTGGGGGTGGGGGACGCAGAGACTAGCTCCTGGAGTTTGCTTTCCCCTTTTTTCCTTTGACACGGGAGTGCCCCACAGTTGGGTTCGTGGGGAGATATCCATCAGCTTCCTCTTTCTCCCTGCCATCAGAATTTTCATCCTGTTACAGGTTTTTCTGACTTTCCGCCTTTGTTAAGTGCTCAGCTCAGCAGCATTAGGTGTGCTCAGGCTGTAGCCCTCCCCCAGCCCCATCCGGGAATAGAGCCCCGATCCAGGATGACCTGGCCTCAGTAGGACATCTGCAAAGACCCCCATTTCCCAGTTAGGTCCTGCTCTCAGGTTCTGGGGGACACGGTCCAGCTGCCACAGCTCCCTCCTCCCCCGACCAGTGCCTCCTGAGCCAGAGGGAGCGCCTTCCTCAGTCTCTCAGCTGCCTTGTGCCACCTGGCCTCCCTGTGAAGATTTAGTAGAGCTGTTATGTACATTTTCCCTTTTAGGACAAATTCTGGAGAAGTAGAGGCTGAATAGCAATACGTGAGCACTTATGTTATATATTTAAAACACTTTCCCCTCTAAAAACTGTCCTCTAAGCGTTTTCTGATTCTTCTCCCTTTTCACACTTGGCTGCACTGGTCTTAGTTGCGGTACACAGGATCGTCCATCTTTGTTGCAGCATGCAAGGTTTTGAGTTGAGGCATGTGGGATCTAGTTCCTTGCCCAGATTGAACCCCCTGCCCTGGAAGCCCAGAGTCTTAGCCACTGGGCCACCAGGGAAGTCCCTCTGATTAATCAGAATATTTTTCTAATCTTTTCTAATGAAAAATATTAAAGACTCAGGAGTACATTTCACCAGGATCTTCACTTTCTCCTCTTGGCCCTTCCAACCCAGGCTGTGTGTCCTGCACATGTTGAGCCAGCCATTCCTGGCGTCTCCAGATGCCCTCTCACCCCAGCCCTGCCCATACATGCTCTTCTGGTAGCGTCCCTCCTGTCCCCCATGCTGTTTGTGGGCCCGGCAGGGGCTTACCCACCTGAGGGTGGCCAGGCCTGCCCAGAGGCAGGTGGTGTCTGGTCACCAGTGCCCAGGGTGTGCTGAAAACCTGCTTCAGCACAGCGCCATCCTGGGCCCACAGACACAATGGGAGCAGAGGCCCAGTGCTGACGCTTGGCCAGGGAGCAGGGCTGGCCCGAGCCGTGCACCTGCCCAGCCTCGCTCCCCTGGAGACGGCAGCTGGACCACCTCTTCCTCGGCTGGAGCCTTTCTCGATGTCTGCAGGAAGGAGGCTCTGCACACTGGCCCCTGCCTGCCCAGAAGGTGCTCAGGCCTTGGACCAGGGAGTCCAGCCCAGGACCATGTTCCCACAGTGCTCTCCTCACAGGTTAGCAACGGCACCGGCCTCGGGGACGAGCGCACCACAAGCCTGCTGCTGCTTGGCTTCCTGCAGAGCTGCCCCCACTCCTGCTTCCAGAGGGAGCTGGAGACGCTGGGTCATGAGCTGCCTGGGCGCCTGGTCCATGACGACGAGCTGCAGACCGACGGCAACCGCTACAGCCACTTCCCTTCGGCAGCGGCGGTGGAGACAGGTAGGCACTGGCCAGCCTCCTCGGCCCTGGGGTTTTCCTGCTCAGCCCCCCATGTCCAGTGGAGCAGGCCTCAGAGTCTGATTGGTGAAAACCCACTCAGCTTCCGGAGGACTCTTGGCATCAGTGTCCCCTATGGATTCACGTCTGTGTGCTACAGCCATGCTGACCTCCACGGTCACCAGGCGATGGGGACCCTGGGCTCATTCTTGGGGCCGGGCTGTTCTCCCAGCCTCAGCTTTTACCACAGTGCTGCCTCCACGGAGGCCACTGGGAGCCCCTTGGGAACTCCCCAGGGAGCCTTATCAAGTTGTGAGTCAGCCTGTTCCTGGGAGGCCTGGACTGGAGCCACCTCTTAGGAGGTCCCCACCAGCCAGGGCCCCCTTGGGGACAGAGTAGGAAGGTGTGGGGGCAGGAGGGGCTTTGCTGTCAAGACTGCTGTCCCTGGGGTCCCCTCTGTCACCACCCCACCCTTAGACTTAGACTTCGGAGCCTCGCTGGAGGCACAGGGCAAGGCCCTCAGGTAGGAAGCTGGCCTGTGGTCAGGAACCTGGTGATGTTCGGCAGTAAAGCGCAAGACAAACCTGGACGGGGAGGCTGTGGGGGCCACTGGGAGGGGGCCAGGCTGCAGTGGCACCGGGGGTTGAGTGGTTCTGTCAACCGTGTAGTCCAGGTCAGAGGGCAGGCATGTGAGAGGTTCTTGGGGACGGGGGGACTACATGCAGGTCTCTAGGTCCAGGCATCTCACCGCCTGCCCTGCATGGGGCAGGAGGAGGGACGCAGCACCTTCCCCGAGTGCACGCTTGCCCGTCCTGCGCCCACTGTGCACCGAGCTCTCGGCTGTGTGGCTGGGAGTCAGCCCCACAGCGGAAAACGCTCGATCCCGGGAGCCTTCTCTTTGGTGGGGTGGTGGGGGAGCTCAGAGCATTCGGAACGAAGTGCAGAGGGGCAGGGGTGCTGTGCCTCAGGAGAGCAGGTCGGGAGGCAGCCGCTGGGGCGATAGATTGCCACCGCTTCCTGGACAACGGCTGTTCGCCATGTGTGAGTGCTCTGCTGCTCTAATCGCTCTAAGCGGTTGTGGGGCCCCCAGGGAGATTCTTCCTGGAGGGTACTAGGGGAGGGTGTGAGCAGACATCACCTGAATCTGCCTTGTCTGGATGTTAGATTCTGAGCGTCAGGAGGAGGCGGTCCGTGATGTCGCCCGGCAGCTTGCCCAGATTGGGGACAGGCTGGAAGGCAGCATCCGCCCAGCAATGGTGGCCGGTCTGGCCTCACGCTTCAGTATCAGGAGCCTGTCGGAGGAGGTGAGTGGGGAAACCACAGGGCCACTCACAGGTCTGTCCTCTGCCTCCTGGTGGACAGACCAGCGTGACCTACCTTCCACAGAAGCTGGAGGGAGTATCGGCTCAGAGAATTGTCTCCTGGAAGAACTGTCACCGGGCCCCTAAAAACCTGAACCTCAGATCAGGCTCAGGAATTGGGGGACAGCACCCTCAGTGTCATGAGTATGACTCTTCCCAAAATGCGGCCTGAAACGCCCTCGCGCTGGGCCCGGCCGGTCAGCTTCCTGCCCCCAGGAAGGCTGTCCACTCAGGGAGCCATCATGGGTCCCAGGCCACTGGCGCCCCACCTCACTGTTGGTGCCGAAGGTCCTCTGGGGTCTAGGGATCCACAGAGGCCTCTCCCTGCACCGTGTGCTGGCCCCAGCCCTGGGTGGGGACTTTGGCCTCAGGTGCCTTCGGGCAGGAGGAGCCGCGGTGGGGGTGGGCACACCTGCCCCAGCTTCTCCTCGGCTGCCCCAGCAGGAGGCGGTCGGTAACCGCACCCCACTTCCACATGTGCAGGACAGGAGACAGTGCCTGGCGGCTGCGCTGGAACAGCTCATGCAAACCTGCCCCGCAGACATGGACCACGAGAAGACCCAGCTCCTGCTTATCATGCTCTTGGCCAAAAAGATAGCCGACCACTCGCCAGCCTTGCTCCGAGACATCTTCCGCACAACGGTGACCTTCATCAACCAGAACCTCATCACCTATGTGAGGAACTTAGTCCAGAATGTAAGAGCCAGTGGTGGATGAGCCCCGCTTTGGTCTCCCTCCCCCCACCTGCCCCCTCCCCTGAGCTCTAGGAGCCTCACTGCGGGAGTCATGGAGGAAGGTAGTTGTAGTTGTGAGTGCCTTTCGAGCTTCCTCAGCCTTGTTTCTGAGACAGCTGCGGTCACAGGTTCTTGAGAGCAGCTGGGGTGGGAGGTGGGGGCAAGCACAAAAGATGCGCCCAAGCTGGGCTTCCCTGCTCTGCTCTCAGCGCCACCTTTTCACAAATGAGTGTCAGTTCAGCTCAGTCACGTCCGACTCTGTGATCCCATGGACTGCAGCACACCAGGCCTCCCTGTCCATCACCAACTCCCAGAGTTTACTCAAACACATGTCCATTGAGTTGGTGATACCATCTCATAGTCTGTCGTCCCCTTCTCCTCCCGCCTTCAGTCTTTCCCAGCATCAGGGTCTTTTCCAATGAATTAGCTCTTTGCATCAGGTGGCCAAAGTATTGGGAGTTTCAGCATCAGTCCTTCCGATGAATATTCAGGACTGATTTCCTTTAGGATGGACTGGTGTAGTTTAAAAACATGCTTTACCAAGCAGGGTGAGAGGTCGAAAGGGGGTAAAAACCACACATGTCTGTTCTCCAACCAGGTATTAGGAAGTCTGGTTTCACAGACCAGCTGAAAGGGAAGTAGCCACACCTTGTCTGTAAACCTGGAGATACTGGTGAGGGTGGAATTTTGTGTGTCAGCAGCACTGCTCAGGCATCTGACCCTTTTACTATGTACTGATGAGCCTTGAAAGCATTCTCTGTGCGTGGCTGTGAAGTTACATAGGCGTTTACAACCGGAGGGTGACGCCAACTCGGTGTCAAACCAGGCTGAACTGGTGGAAGGAGAGAAGCTTTTTTTAACAGCTTCCAGACCCTGCAGGGCTGCAACAGAACCTCTTAGTAGAGCTGCTCGGGTGCTGACTGTGGGCCTGGAGGCCCAGGTGTGGGGTCCTGGCTCAGTGACACTGGCCCACCCCAGCTCCTCCTCTCTCACTCCAGGAGATGGACTGAATGGACCGCTCAGCAAAAGCACGACTGTGAAGACACCAGGTGGTGTCAGTGTTGTAGCTGCTGCCTCCACAAACATGGAGCTTCAGCCACTGATCCAGGCTCAGAGAAGACAGCCCGAGACGACCAGAGAGCATCACCTCACCATCGGGAAGCCTAAGACTTGCTGTGTTAACGTACTTGAACGAAGATACTCAAATACACCTGTGGATGTTTCTTCCGCATCCACCCCACACTGTGCCTTTGTCTGCTGTTGGCCAGGAAGGTCCCCGCCTGAAAATCATCCCAAAGCAGATTGGGACTTCCTGGTGGTCCAATAGTTAGGACTCTGCGCTTCCACTGCTAGGGCCTGGGTTTGATCCCTGGTTGGGGAACAGATCCCACAAGCCTTCTGGCACAGCCAAAAAAAAAAAATAAAAGCAAACTGTTAAGATAGGAAACAAGAATACACTTGATGTTGTTTTTAAAAAACTAACTTTACTTTTTACAATAGTGTGGGACTTCCCAGTGGTCCAGTAACTACTGTTGTAGCAGCTGTGCTTCCACTGCTGAGGCCTCGGTCTGATCCCTGTTAGGAACTAAGATCCCACCTGCCTCGTGGCGCAGCCAAAACGAGGGGCCACTGCTTGCCACGTCCGAGGAGGACCAGGGAGGACTGGAGGGGAGTTGCTGTACCCCTCAGAGTGGAGAATTGCCCTGTAAACAGCCTTCATTCGAAGGAAGTGCAGGCTTTCCGTTTAAAGACCAACCACCACAAGAGATTCTGGACTCAAATAATGGGAAACCCAGGCCTCAAATACTCCAGTCAGGAACAACAGGCGATTAAAAGGTATAGAGGTGATTTAAAGGCCCATGATAACCAGTGTAACTAAATGCATTCTTTTCTCATTCAGAGAAGTTAAGATTTTGATATAAATTTTAACCTGCTGTAGCAGCTACTGCCTGTCAGTGATTACCCTCGCACCTTCCAGCCCCACCCCCAGCACATCCATGCCTAAGAAACTGCTTCAGGCAGAACAGATTTCTAGGCATGAAAGATGCAAGAACAGTTAAAACTTTAAAATTCAATATCTGTGGTGGTTTCCTTTCCTGGAGACAGAATATAAGAAATATCTAAAACAATCGAGACTTCCCTGGTGGTCCAGTGGTTAATAACTGCCTTGTAATGCAGGGGACACCGGTTCAGTCCCTGGTCAGGGAACGTGGTGGGGGGCGGGGGCGGTGGGGCCCAGCCCCTGCAACTACTGAGCCCACATGGCAACAAAATATCCCACGTTGCAACTAAGAACCAGGGAGCACTTACATTTAGAAAACAGCACAGCCTCTCTGCTCCCAGCGACAAGTGTCTCCTAGGACTGGGTTTGTGTTCCATGTGCAAGCGATGCTGGGTGCGGCTCCTGATTGCAGGTCACTGGCGACAGAAACACCCATGTTAACTGTGACCATGATGTCCTGGGGAAGAACATGAACATGAATAACAAAGTACTAACACGTTCTTGTTGCCAAAACCACTTCTCTATTCCCTGAGTTCAAACTTACCAGAAAAGAAAAACAACTGCATGGTTCAGCATCCAATGCACAGCACCCGAGGGCTGGGTCTCAGGCTGACAGCTGCAGGATGTTGCGAAGTCTAAATGCAGGTATCGTGGTTGAGCGTCTGGAAACAAATCTCCCAGGTTTAAAGGGTTCACCTCTCAGTGGGAACACAGTGAGTCTCCCATACTCACACACACACATTAGTCAGTACAGTCTCCACAGGGAGATGTTTCCTCTCAGTAGGGGGATGGTTCTCTTCCAGGAGCAGTTAAGTGTAGTAAAAGAAGCTCTAAAGCACCAAATAACCCCACTATCTCTTAGAACACTTCACTTTACCTACCACTGTTCTGCTTATGTTAATTCAGTAATCCTCTCTTTTGATAAAGTTTACACAGGTTTTGGTGTCAGATTTTCTAGACCAAGTGAGAGATACTTTATCGGGTCACGGTCACACTTTATCGGGTCACGGTCACTAAGCAAGATACCAAGATACATGGCTCTTCTCCCTGAGGCAGTCTCACGTGGATGCCCCGACCTCAAGTGCATCCCAGCCGCCTGACTCAGCCTGTCCTACTAGTTGGTGCTTCTTAGGTCAGGATCCTTGTGAACAGGGGGAAACATGCATGATTGCTTGAATTAAGCGATGGTTACAGAAAACAAGACACTCGGTCGCTGGAAGTCTGGAGGCGGGCTTGCTGTGCGCATGGGCTCCCGAGGACCCAGTGCATACAGCTAAGCTGCCTCTGGGGTCACAGCCCTGGAGCCGCTTTTACTCTCGGCAAGTTCACCAGCTGCGTCTGCTGGGTCTCGGGCTGCTGTCAGACAAGGCTGGTGGTCTGGAGGGGGCCCTCCTGAGTGGAGGGCAGGAGTTACCGTGTGGACGGTGTCTTCAGTCCTCACTTCACTTCACCTCCAGCGCGTTCTCCCGACACTGCTTCCAGCAGAGCATGCTCTTCCTAGAGCGCAGCTCTGCGCCTCCCCTGACGACGAGCACAGACGCAGGTGAGGGGAGAGCTGAGGGGCCTCACGCAGGGAAGGGGCCACGTCTCACCTCAGCACTGTGGAGGGGTGAGGGGCAGAATCCAGAACACGCCGACCTCCGTCAAGGGGGCACAAAGAAGCACTTTTAGTCTGAAGGAAAAGGACAACTAAGCCATCAGGAGAAACACAGGAGGCCCAGGAAAACAGTGAGATGCCTGTCCCTTTGGTGCTGGCCAAGGACCCAGCCCCTCCAGACTCTGGGCGAGAAGGTGTCAGCCCGCGCTCCGACCGTGGCTCACACTTCAGCCGCGCGGTCTCCCGGGAGCTTGTGCCCCGGGCACTGGGAGGGCCCGCAGGACACACAGGTGCTGCATCAGACACCAGACACAGGCAGCAGTGCTGATGTCCCGGAGGCACCTGGGGACTAACCGGGCTTTTGCGGGCCGAGACTGTTACCATTTACTGTAGAGAACATAAACCAGCATTCTTTAATTCTAGTGTTTTCCTTAAGAAACTTTGAGTGGCTTTTGCCAAGTGATCAGAAGTCATGACATTCAATAGCAAAGTGATCAGAAGTCATGACATTCAATAGCACAGTAAGAGTGCTGAAGACCCACCAACCAGAACCAGCAAGGGCCTGGCGCAGAGAAAGCCCCACCTCACTCCTGCCATGGAGAAGGTGGACCCCCGACCCCAGCCCCCGCAGCACAGACACCCCGCCCCCCGCCAGCTGCTCAGAAACAACCCGGCTCCCATCAGAGCTTCAGCACCTTCAGCCAGTGGGTTTGAGGATCCAGAGTTTAAAAATGTAAACGCTGGAAGGAAAACGTTATGAAAGGGACCACGACGATGCAGCAGACCACACGCGAGGAGGAAGACAAGCTCCATGACACGAGCCCCACCGGCTCTCCTCCGGCTCCTCAGTCCAGGTGCAGAGCTCAACACCTCCCTCCCCAGGAGGCACTGATGCTCAAACACAGGTGCACGCCCTAGGCACATGCAGATACAAGCACGCACACACACACGCTCCAGGCCGTTCTGGCCAACTTGTAAACAGTACTGCTTTAGGAAGAATTAATTAAAAAAAAAAGGCACATTTAAAACATCAAGTTTTGGTGATGAGGATAGGTAATGTAATTTTATTACAAATTTCAGGATCTAAAAAGTAACCTGTTACACTGACTAAGGTAACTCTGAGATGAGCTGTCTCAGGCACGGTCCTGTGAGTGACCCAACCTCAGGGGAGAAGAGACGCAGTCCCCCCGCCCCCCCCACCATGCGGGGCGCAGGCAGTGCCCAGGGCTGGGGCTATGCCGTGTCCCCGGCACACGCCAAGCACAACCGCCGTGGCCAGCGCTCTGCCGTCTGGGCCGTGACGAGCCCAGTGAGAGCCTCCTGCTGGGCTCCGAGGGCCACGCAGGAGCCTCAAAGGTGGCCTCTCCTGCTTTTTAGCTTCAATGGTATTTAGGAGACTGCGCTGAAGGAGAGTATGTCCCCTGGGGTGAAGCCCAGTATGGGAGCTCTTACTACAAGCAGGAGACACAGAGGGGCCGTGTGACCAGTGAGAAGTCTGTGGCCAGAACCCAGGTTAACCCAGGCTACAGACAGTGACTGTTGGACAGACACCCCTGCCAGGCAGCCACCAACAGAAGGACTGGAAACCACTTCCGGAGGTCAGGAAGCTACCCTCCTGCTTCTGTACAAGAGACAACTTGCCCACAGTCACGGGCAGGGCCTGGGTCTCGTCTTATATTTACTTTTTAAAAGACTACAGGCAGCATCTTTATGAGGGGAGCCGAGGGAAGCATTGGGCAAGCCCTCTCCATGGGCCAGCAGGGACCCAGGCGGGGAGGGCAGGGCAGTACCTGAGAGGCGGTGGAGACCGCAGAGCACTTGGGCTGCGGGACCGACGGGAAGAACAGAGCCCGGAGGAGGGGTCGGAAAGCGCACGCTCATTGGCAGAGGGGAGGCTCCAGGCCAGAGCGCGTCAGCAGCCAAGAGGCCCACTGCCAAGCCCTCTGCCTGGCCCCCCAGGTGCCCACGAGAACCCTCTTGCCTCTGAGGCTGTGGCTCTCATGGGACGCCTTATCCCGGGGACATTTGGCAACATCGGGAGGGGCTGTCACCAAAGGGGAAGGTGCTACGGGGGCCGACAGGGGAGGCTACACACCCTCGGGGGCACAGGTGCTTACGGCCCGGGTTGTCCAGACGCCAGAGACAAGGTTGAGGAAGCACTTTACACCCTACACCCTGAATCTCAGGGGAGCCCAGGCCTGGGACGGCCCAGCAGACCGTGTGCACAGTCTCTACCTCAAGCCCCCCCAGGTGGGCCACCCCTGCCCTGCTGACCCAGCCCCCTCACCCCAGAGTGTCCCGCGGATGTCCAACCAGCTGCTGCCCATTCAGATTCAGTCAAGACAACTAAAACCTTACTCGTTCTTCTTTCTCCTGGGCCCCGAGTCCCGGCAGCAGGTCACGGTGAACCCCGAGAAGGAAAACCTATTTCTTCCGCAGAGCCAGTGCCAACCCAACCGCCACTGCGAGGATGGCCATGGCAGCCGCCCCTCCCAAGAGCAGGAGGGACTTGCCCTCAGGCAGCGGGCCGGCCTTTTCGAGGTCGCCTGGGCGGGGCCCTACCCTGAGTGCCCCCTGCCTTCCGGTGGCCTCCTCCCGACTCGGCGGGGCTGTGGGAGGCTCTGCTGGGGGCTTGGGTGGCAGGACCCCCTCCCGCTCCAGTTCAGAAGCTTCTGGTGGGGCTGCTTCTGCCTCTTCTTCACCAAGCTCCACGAATAGTGATGTCGTGGGACTGGCTCTGGGGACAGCCGCCATCAGGGCAGGGGCCGGTGCAGCCGCCTCCCCCACACCCTCGGGGATCTCTTCCCGCTCCACGTGCACGATGTCGGAGTTGGAGGAGTTGTTCTCGCTCTTCTCTGCGGCCCCGTTGCTATCCAAGCTCTTGACTTCCTCAGGGTCCACTGTGACCTGCTGCCAGGACTCGGGGCCCAGGGACACCGGCAGGCTCTCCGTGTGCCAGCTCTGGCTGGCAGACAGCGACACGGGCAAGCTTTCGGCCTGCCAGGAGGCCGTGGCTGTAGTGGGTGACTCCGGGGGGCTGACGTGCGTGGACCCGTCGCTGGGCAGAATGTAGATGTCGTTGCTGTCCTCCGCGGTGCCCGCAGGGCACTCGTCCTCTGACTCCAGGTTAAAGACGGTGCCCTAGAAGAGGAGCACGCGGTCAGCACAAGGGAGCCAAAGCAACCTCTGCGAACATACATCTGGGGACCACTCCCTCCTAAGCTAAGCCTGAGGAACAAACACATCATTTAAAATGATGGTGTTTCTGGAGTGAACACGCTCGCTTGCAGATCAACGCAGAGAAGGAGTTTCTAACAAGATGGTTCTCTAAGCACGTCCTCAAAGCTGAATCAGCAGAAAGCTGATGCATATCCTACTCGACTTCACACGTATTTAACACAGTAAGCAATGCGGCCCAGCAGAGAGAAGAGGCACAGGCAGGCAGCTCGTGCCCCAGGCTCATCAGACCAGGAGAACGTGTTTTGGCAGCGGCTGGGGAGGCAAGGGTGAGTGGGAGCCTTGCCCAGACACACAGGCCAGGGGACTGAACAAGCCTGGAGCGACCAGGGAGGGACCGGCAGTGGACAGAGGGCTCTAGCCACAGCCTGAACTCCGCTGCAAGGGAGCACTTGGTCACAGACGGAGCTGCCCCAACTGGTGGCACAGGCCTCCACCCTTCCACTGCCAGGAGCCCCAGGCAGCGTGGCCACGGCCACGAGCTCTGGTTACAGGGAAGCACGGACTCAATTTTGGTTCTTCACAAACTGACCGTCTGGACATGAAGACTGACACGAGTCACACATTTCATGTGACACCGGCAGCCCTGAGGCAGGGGACACACGGGGACCAGGGGCTCGTGTCGGAGAGGGACGGGAGGTGCTGGCTGAGCCTGGGTGACACCACAGATGGTGACGAGAGGCTGCAGGGCGTATGTGAGCACACTGGCTCCCACCCTGTCAGGGAGAAGGATTCTGGTCTCCAGCCAAGACCAGACACTTTCCAGTCAGATATGGTTAACTCCCACGTCCTTGTCCTTAGAGTCACATCTGCTGATGCTCTGCGCACTGCTGGTTCCGCAGTCACAGGAGGCCTGGCTCCGCTGGGCGTGGAGCAGCCTCAAGACAGTCGTTCAAGCTGACTCCAGAGGCCCTAACAGTCGGCGTGCTCCCCGAACAGCACTCCCAGCAAGGGCTGAAAAGAGAACCTCTCACAGTGAAAAAAGTGAAAGTCGCACAGTTGGGTCCAACTCTTTGTGACCCATGGACTGCAGTCTGCCAGGCTTCTCTGTCCATGGGATTCTCCAGGCAAGAATACTAGAGTGGGTTGCTATTTCCTGTTCCAGCGGATCAAACCCAGGTCTCCTGCATTGCAGGCAGATTCTTTACCAACTGAGCTACCAGGGAAGCCCAAGAGTTAGTTTAAAAAGCAAAAGCAAAACAAAGCAACCATAACAAAAAAGGTAAATATTTTAATCCTCAGAAAGGAGACTTTTGCTAATTTTTGTTTCTGGCCACTGGGCATGTGGGATCTCAGCTCCCCGACCAGGGGTTGAACCTGTACCTGCTGCAGTGGAAGCCACTGGACCACCAGGGAAGTCATCCTTTGGTACTATTTTATTTAAGGCTCAAAGCCCAAACAAGTGAAATGGAAATTTCAAAAGTTGCATGATGATGAAATGAGGGAAAAGTTAAACTAAGACAGTATTTAGTATAAAGTTACCTTCCTCTTCATTTTTAACGACTCAAAGCTGAGAGTTAAGAGCCTTCTGTCCCGTATCTAGAAGACTTCACCACACAGCACCATCAGCAGGGTCGTCAAGACAACAGCTCATCGAGAGCCAGGGGCTCAACACCCGTCAGACTCGGCCGCTTTGGCCCTACTGTCATGGACTCCCTACCTTACAATTTATGTCCATATGTGGGTCGTGACATTTTAATGATGATTCATCAAAAATTTTATGCTTTATGTAAGAAGTTTTAAAGAAAGAACAGATGATCATTGAAACTTTTACTTCTGGTCAGCTAGAATATAAAATGGAGGCATCTCCCTCGACAGTCACCATCACTAATGAAGAGCAGGCTGTCTCTGAGAGAGAAGGCACCAGACAGTGAAGCAGGGGTAATCCTTCACCTACACTCAGCACACCAACAACTTAAATCACTTTTAACATAAAATACTTGTATCACTGGAAACAGCTGTATCTTTAGTCCCACTGATGCAAAAAACACAAAGGAATAAATTCAAGGGCTCAAAAATATAAAATTAATTGGGACCAACGAGAGTTTAACAGAGAACTATGTTCTGTTTAAACAAATGGCGCCCAGGAAGTAGGAACTCGCCCAAGTTCCCTCAGCTGCTGTGAGAAGTGGGCATCAGTGTCCTTCTGAAGACCAGACTTAATTCATTTCACCGTCAAAATAAGGAAACTGAAGCACCCGAGGAGGGTGCACACCTGGCCTGAAGTCCACAGCTAGGACTGGCCCTGACCAGGCGGCTCGCCTGTGGGGTCCAAGCCCCTGCTTCCCACACTGGTGCTTTTCCTGAGTTTACGGCAAGAAGTAAGTGGAAGATGCTATTCTTGGTGTTTCTGTCAAGCAAATACAGAAGGTATGTTCAGGAAATTCTTCAAGTAAAAAGGGAGGTAGGGAAGAAACTGAAATATCTGAAGGGACTCCTGTGGAACAAGTGGGTACGGGTAAAATTGGCCTGGAATCACCCAGAGAAGCATCTCGAAGCTGCAGCAGCAATCCACCATGTCTGCATCCACCGAGTTTGCTTGTTCTATTTTGGGTCACACAAGTTACAAACTGTTGTGCCACTTCAAGCAGTGTTTCACACGCAGGGTCATAGCTGCCAATGAACTGATCCACTGAGGACGCCGGGCAGACTCTCAAGACCACCCTCCCCAGGGAGCTCACTGAGGGACCCACCCCACCTGTCATGTGCCAACCAACCCTTATCACCAAGAAGATAAAACAGACGCCTGCTCCTCTACACTCGGTCAGACAGGGTACTAGCAATCAAAAGGCTCTGAGATCACTATTAATCTAAAATAAGGAAACAGAGGGCTTCCTGGTGGTCCAGTGGTTAAGACGCCACACTCCCGAGGCAGGGGGCCCAGATTCAGTCCCTGATTGGGAACTACGACCCTGCATGCTGCAGCCAAAATAACAAAATAAAACAACTACAAAAAAAGAAGATGAAAACAGAGTGTGAGAGAGATTTATATTAAGTTAACTTTCCACCTTAACATGATGACTAAGACCCACAAAGGACACATTTAAACACAGTGCAGTCAACACCCACACTCACACCTAAAACGAATAGATCTTGTGAAACACTGAACCCTTACGACACTAAAATTATTTCAGCCGCACAACCGCCTGAACTGACTTTAGATCACAAACTGTACGTCACCTCCCAGTGTGCAAACTCAGATTCCAACCTAAAAGTTCCCAAATGACAGTCTTCCGATGTCCGTGATTCAAACAAAAACTTTTGAGGTTTTCAGTTGTTAAAATAGAAATGAGAAGCTTCAAATCAAAGAAAAAAAAGACAAAAATTAACTTTATTCAAGCTATTTTATTACTATTATAGATGACATTTCCCCCCATAATCCTTTATGAAATCTAAATCTTTCACAGTGAGGTGTGATTCAGTACACACCGTACACCACCAAGGAGAAGCCTGCCCCACAGTGACCCTCGCAGGCCTGGGAGCCGGGGCGGGCAGTCCTCACATCTGGCTGAGCCCTGACCACTGCCCAGCAAAGTGAGAACCAACACCTGAAGGAAACTTCTATCAGATTTGAAAAGAGGAGGAAAACACACTAGAGGCATGTCTGAAAAGCTGATACTTGTAAAAACGTCATGGGTTCACAGAACACTCTCACACCATCTACTCTTCCACATTGTAGCTTATGAAACTGAGGCTCAGTGACGTTAAAGGAATCCCCCCCAAACTCAGGGTTAATGATTGGCAGAGCTGGGCCCCCAAACAAATCGTGATTCCAACCTCCACTCCCAGAAGTGCGCACACACACACACACGCCCCCACTCTATAGTCCCAGTACAGGCCAGCAGTCACTCTCCACGCCTCTAGAAAGCTGCTGCCGGTCCGTAAGATGTGTGCTCCTGACTGTACCCCAACTGACCCTGCCTCCCCCATTCTCTGAACCCCATGACACCCCCCCCCCCGGCCACAGCACAGAACATGCCACCCAGCCCTTCCCATCTGCCTCAAGCACATCTGAGCTCACAGGCAGCCTGCTTCACTCAGCACCCAGAAAACCGACCCTGTAGCTGAGGAACTAGTGGGGGCTCAGCGAGAACAAAGCAGAAACAAAGGCTTCCCAGGGACTCGCAGGTTCCACGTGGAAGGGGCTCAGATGTCTCCACTCTGCCCTCAAGTGGGTTAAAAAGCTCAATGACCAGAAATCTCAAGGACTGTGAGAGGAGAGAGATGACACAGGGCCAAGGGCTGCCCTGGGGCTGGAGGAGGCCAGGCGGGCTGAGGGTGGGGGGGCCGGGGACCGCCAGAGGGAAGCCCCGCAGTTCTGGGAGTCACCCCAGACCCCTAATCCAGGCAGGTGAGGGCCCAGGAGCCCCTCTGAAGCAGCCAAGCACCCCGCTCTCCCTGCAGGGGAAACCAGTTCACCACCGCCTGAGCCCAGAGGAGGGAAATGCCCAGTGCTGACCCACTCCGGCCACCGTGCCGTCTAGGGAGGAGGGAGAAACAGAAAGTCCCGTCAAGTTCGGGGGCGGGGAGCCCAGAGGCTCGCTCACCGGCGGAGATCTATTCACAGGCCTGCAAACACATCTCCTCCTGATGCCTCACCACATCGCCCAGGCCTCCAGACGCAGTTCCTTCTATCTGGGACCGCAAGCCTGGCTAGCCAGAAAAAATGACAAGGCACAGCAAAAAGAGCACACACACACACGCCAGAACCAGACGTGGCAGGGATGTAGGAGTTATAATCAGGCTCTTTCTGGGGCCTTCCCTCGTGGTCCAGTGGCTAAGATTCTTTGCTTCCAAAGCAAGGGGCAAGGGTTTAATCTCCAGTCAGGAAACTAAGACCCACCTGCCTCATGGCACAGTCAAAACTTAAAAAAAAAGAAAAAGTAAAAATAAACATGTTTTAAAAAAATGAACTTAGGCACAGACCTTACACCTTTCAAAAAATTTTTACTCAAAATGGATCACAGGGAATTTCCTGGTGGTCCAGTGGTTAGACTCTGCACTTTCACGGCTGAGGGCCTAGGTTTGATCCCTGCATCAGAACTAAGATCCCACAAGCCATGTGGCACATGTGGGAGCAGGGGCAGATCACAGATCTAAATGTAAAATGCAAAACTCCTAGAAGATGCCATAGGAGAAAAGCTAAAAGATCATGGGCTTGGTGATGACTTTTTAGATACAAAGTACAATCAGTGAGAGAAGTGAATGAAAAGCTAGACTATTGAAGAGATAATTCTGAGAGAATTAGAAGAAAAGGCACAGACTGGGAGAAAATATTTACAAAAGACACATCCAATAAGGGACTGTTACTTAAAATAACACAAAGAACTCTTTAAAATTCAACATTAAGAATTTTAAGCCACCAATTAAAATTAAATTTTAAACAACCAATTTAAAAAATGAGCCTGGGACTTCCATAGTGGTCCAGTGGTTAAGACTCTGCTTCCAACACAGGGGATGTGGGTTCAATCCCTGGTTGGGGAACGAAGGTCCCACATGCCACTTGGCAAGTATTCAGTGCTAATAAGGAAAAGAGGAAATGCAAATGCATACTACTAAGTGAAAAAAGCCAATCTGAAAAGGCTACATACTTTACATCTCCCAACTATATGATCTTCTAGAAAATTATGGAGACAATTAAAAGGTCAGTGGTTGCTAGAATTCAGAGCAAGGGAGGGACAAACAGGGGAAGCCCAGAGGATTTCTAGGGCAATGAAATCAGTACTGGTCGGACACATGTCACTATAAATTCATCCCAACCCATATAATACATAGCCAGCATCACCAAGAGATCTGGATCCTAATGTAAACTGCGGACTCTGGGGGATGCTGGCGTGCCTCTCAGCAAGTGTAATGGAGGTTCCATCTGGCCAGGGCTGCCAATGCGGGGCGGGGGGGGGGGGGGGGGGGGGCTCAAATGTGTGGAGGCAGGGAGTTGATGTGAAATCTCTGCACCTTCTGGTAAACATTTCCATAAACCTAAAACTGTTCTAAAATCTCTCAATACAGTACAATGGAAAATCACCTCAAACACAGTACAATGGGGGGAAAAAAACACTTGAAGACAAAATATTCATAAAACAAGATGGAGGACAAGCAAAACTCCCTGCAGACCTCCAAAGACATTTATCCTAGCCATTTCTTTCTATAATTCAGACAACAAAGAATCACTTTTCTTTCTGCAAATCTCTAAGGCCAACACCTGCCTTACAACTCACTACAGAGGGCCACCCCACCAACTATAGCTCACTACACAGGGCCACCCCACTCACCCCAAGTCACTGCCTCCTTCACCGCCTCTCCTGCAGATTCGAGAAGCCAGCTCCACTTCAGGGGCTCACATTCAAGTGGCTGAAGACAGACACAGCCGGGGGAAGTCATATGACAGACCTTATGTAATAAGACATGCACCACCACGTGACCAGTGATCCTCCTCTGGCCCAGTGTTGTTAAGACCTGTCAATGCGTGTTCCACACGAAGTGCCTGGAAGGAGATGCAGGCTGACACTTTCTGTCAGAGGATGCATTTTCACCAATTAGCCAGAAAAGCAAGCTCTTGGTTTTAAATACAAAAACACAGGGTACTCAAAAATAACAGTGTGAAATACAGATTGGGCACTCACATTTAGAAAGGAAAACACATTTTAAATATTAACAAACTAGTTACTCATACATACTGCTCTATTTTAAGCATAACAGATTTTAGTTGAATAAAATACTTTATAACAAATTATAATTACCACCAAAGTTTGAGGCACTCCATCATAAAGAAACAGAACATTGAGAAGGGAATAAACAATGCCCCCTCTACGCTCCTCCTCCTTCATCTCAGAGCATCATCCAGGCTAGGAAGGTCCCTGGGGGAGCCACCCACAGACAGCAGCAACGCCAACAACAGGAGGGCACTGGGAACCCGAGGGCTGGAGCAGGCCACCCTGCCTCTGCCCACAACAGAGTCAGAGGAGGGCAGGAAGGCGGGGAGGGCTCTCCTGGAGGCAGTGGCAGGAGAGGCGGCTGTCACTGTGACAGCTCTGCGCCCAAGGAGATAGCAGCAACTGTGTTTGCTGTGAAAACCACACCAGCGGAGCCCACCATCCCCATAAGGGGAGGCTGTACAAGGAGAAAGGGAAGGCAATGCTCTGAAGACACGTGCCGACAGTATCTGATCTAACATCGCCCCCGCCCCTCCAAGAGCTCCGTCCAAGGTGCCTGAACACTCACGTCTTTACAACAGAGGGAGAGGGAGCTGTGAAAAGAGCAGTGAAAAACGGGGGCACCATCTCTGCAGAATCTCTCAAGGTGTCCCCCCTCTTCCCTCCTGGTGTCTGCTTCGGGGCTGGGCATCTACACTGGGGACGTTCCTACAGCACCCACCCAGGGAAAAAAAAGATCCTGGTAAAGAGAGGAGGGTCTTGTCACAAAAGTCTCTTTGAACCTGAGACCACTGTCAGCATGACCTGAACGACCTGACCCACCATCTACTTTGATGGTCCAAATTCCAGTAAGCTCAAGTCCAGTTATTTCACTCAAACTCCGAGAAGCATTTTACTAACCTCATTCCCTTTTCAGCCTGTTAAGACACTCTGAATGCTAAAAGGTTATCTGATGATAGGAAGGAATTATTTTTAATTTTTTTGTGATGCAATAATGGTATTGTGACTTAAAATTTAAAAAGAACCTTTATCTTCAGAGATACACAGTGAAATCTTTGCAGAAAAAATTATAGTATGTCTGGATTTCACTTCAAAATAATATCAAGACGGGAAATGATTAGGCTATGACTGAAGCATGACTGGCAATAAGTTAATGGTTGTTAGGACTAAGTGATGAGGTTCATTACATGCGCTTCTCTGTTTTCGTACATACTCAGAATTCTCCAAAAGAAAACACTTTTTATAAAAGTAAGTAGTATAAGGGACTTCCCTGGCGGTCCAGTGGTTAAGAATCCACCTTGCAATGCAGGGCATGTGGGTTTGATCCCTGGTTGAGGAACTAAGATCCCACATGCCACAGAGCAAGTAAGCCCGTGCCTAGCAACTAGAGTCCGTGCGCCTTCATGAATGATCGCACACAACTAAAAAAATACCCAGCAACTCAGATCTGACACAGCCAGAGACCCAAGCGAGTGACCAGAGACCGACAAGAAAAACAGAGACCTTCCCCCAGAGAAAATACCAGGGGGTTGTGAAGGAATGTCATGGGAAGCAAAGGCACAGATAATCCAAACCTCATACAAGCTGTTCCAGAGTACAGGGGAAAAAAGGAGACATTCTTCCCAACTGCAAATTCTTTTATGAAGTCTTAAAACTGAAACACAACAAGGAAAGTTATAGAAGAACCTCACTCATGGAGATACAACTAAATGGTTACATGTTAAAGGCACTCATATTAATATCAAGAAAAGGACAAGGATGGATTAACACCACTGTTGTTAGTAACTGTGCTGGAGGTCCTGATTAGTACAGTGCCTTTTTTAAAAAAGATAGACTCAAAGAAAAAAAAAACTGACATTATTCACACATGGTGCGATTTTCTATGTAGAAAACCCAAAGAAACCCAGAGATAGTCAGAATCATAAGATAGCTGAGCACATGTGCTGGACAGAAAATCAATTTGACAAAGGAGCCGTAGTTATGTAAGATGCTAATGTGGGAAACTGGGGGAAGGGGATGTGGGATTGTTTTACCTTTGTAACTTGTATATTTACAATTATTCCTAAATAATCTTATTTTAATAAATAATTTTTAAAATTAGTAAGTCTGACAATAGTAAGTGTTATGGAAGAGACGGAACAATAAAAATTCTCACATTAAAAAAATTTTTACAAGCTGCTGATAGAGGACAAGTTGGAAAATACCGTGAAAACAGTTGGGCTTGTCCTGCAACTCAGAACACATCTACACTCCTGGAACCAGAAATCCCTCCCCAGGCGTATGGCCAGAGGCACTCCTGCCTCTGACACTGTTCCAAACAGCAATGCTTCCAACAGCAAAAAGAGGGACCTGTCCACTGGCAAGACTGTCTGTTAAATAAACTACCGATACACTGTGACATATTTAAAAAACCAAACCAAACGCCCACCAACACATGGACTCAGATCACGCATTCGCAAAGGGGATCCATTAAGGGTGAAAACTGGTGTGGAGATGGGATAATCGTAGCCATGACAAAGGCCTTGGCATAGGCACAGAGACAGACTTGGATCTGCACTTTGAAAATTTCTCATGGGGAGGAGGGAGATGATAAGGATAAAAACGTCTAAAAAGGATCCTCAGGAAGGCGATAATGAAAAAAAGTTGAGAAACAATGACCTAGGTGAATCTCAAGAATATAACAGGGAATGAAAAAAGCTAGTTACAGAGGAATACATATATACTATTTACATAAAGTCCAAACAAACAAGATAATACACTCTCTGGGAATAAGTGCATGTTGAAGCTACAATTCAGAACAGGGGCTGCCCCTGTACGTGGAAATCCAGGGCCAAGGAGGAGATCCCGAGTGCTGGCTGTGCTCTTTCCTTCCACTGGGACAGTAAATACACAGGTGCTCATTCACTATTCCTCATCCCTTAGTTATTTCTGTGCTCTGTGCTAGTATGAAATGTTTCATAACCACTTAAAAATACCACATATGCATTCAGAAGTATTGCAAAATCTTAACAGATTAAACTGCATGAATAGCCTTTCCATTGATAACCATTCAATCACAATATTAATACTGAATGATAATACTAATGAATTTAATCTAGGCTGTTAAAAACAACCATGAAAGACTTGTTTTTCTTAAAGAAAAAATTTAGAACCACCACAACAACTTGCAGGTACGTACCCAGCCACCCTGCTGGATGATGTACTCGGCTGCGTGGTCTTCCAGGAATGTCACGCCGAACTGCAGCAGTGCGCCCAGTGGCTCCTGGCCACGTTTCGTCAGCTCCAGAAGCATTTGTCGTAGCAAAATCAGAGGCACCAAAATCTTCAAGACAAAGATGAGGGAATAAAACACAAACTGAAATTCTTACAGATCATTCTACATGTTCAACTACTAGAAAACACATTTTGGTGCATCACTATGGAATTCCCTTTTTATGACAATAAACAGCGACCTCAACTCGAATTCTGGAGAAAAACGCATGTATGTTTTATACCACAGGGTGGTAGAAATGTTATTATATGAAAACGACCAGGCCTCTGTGTGTGTGTACACACACGCATGTGTATGTGTAATTACATATGTACAGGAAATTCACTGAGGCATTATAACAGCTAAAGAATGGAAATGACCCAACAGGCACTGTCAAATTTTGGTCATCCAGAAAAATATCATGAAGCTGTTAAAGTGGATTAGATTGTGCACTGCTCAACTGCCAAGATTTACTGTCAGTGCAAAAAGATAAAGCAGGCTATGTACAGTAACGGCACCATTTGTGTGAGCACTGCAGAGCCCTACAGTATTTCTGGAAAACACTTAAGAACCTGTCGACAGTGCGAGCCTGAGGAGAGCGCAGCGGTGACAGGGCGGGGACGCACTCTCAAGCGGGGGTCTTCTGCACTTGGTGCACGTTGTCCCTGTCCTTTTATCACCTATTTGAACACAACACTTCCGAAGTCATGGACCATCTTACACAAGTCATCAAAAACCAGAGGTGTTGCCACTTCTAATGACTTTATGGCTCAACATTAAAGAGTCATCAAAACTTATGACCGAGACTAACTAGTCCCTTTCCTTCCCCAAAACCCCTGCACAGTGAAGAGAACTAAGTATTTTCAGTTAACCATCTGCCTGAAATCCTTCTGTCTACAGCATCAAAAAGGACCGCCAAAGGAAATGAAACCAGTTTCCTGTCACTGACCTGCCAAGGTCATAGCTGAGGGATTACAATATATTTCTGCAGAAGAGGACAAACAGAAAAGACAATGAGTTTATATCCTTACTAATAATCTGTTTGTTTTTTTTTTTAAGTAAAAGCAGCTCTGAGGGAATCTCTATTAAAAAATCTGAAAGAAAAATGTGACAAGCACACATCTTTCCTTTTTGGTATTCTAAAAGAACTCTAGCCCCAAGCGCAGTCAAAATCGCTTCTCAGCACCAGCAGAGGGGAACAGGGTTGCAGACTGGACTCTACGAGGCTCTGCACAAGCAGACCTGCAGCACTTCTGAAAACAGAACAACACAGCTGCTCGTCCAGCTCCATATTCAGTCTCAGTTGGGGCAGGGAGGGGAGCTGTGAACCAGCCCAACAGACATGTCACATCAACCCCTAGGGCCTGGGGCCCTCCATACCTCAAAACATTCTCATTTCCCACAGTAATGTAATACATGCAATGTCTTAAAGTTATTCACATTTAAGCTCTATTGCCTCTCAGAAATATGAGTTGCAAATGTTTCAGACTTGCCATATAGAGTAACACTCTTAATTTTTCAAAATTCACCTCTTTCACGTATCAAGCGTAGCTGCCCTAGTTTTATGATATAATAATCTAGAGATAAGCCTGTAATCCTCTCACTGTCTTAACTTTAGTCCTGAACTGTATTCCCTCTCATTTATTATTACTTTTTACGCTGAAATCTAACCTTCTAGTCCGTTCTTCATATAGCAACTGCTCCACCACTTTCATCATTTAAGTTACTCTTTCCTGAATCTTCTTCATCGTAATTACATCCTCCTTGAAATGCAGTGAGTGCAGAGGCTTCCTTTTATAAGGCTGGCATCTTCTACTTGGTTGATGACACTCTCATAGTTTGTAACTTAGATCGTCTTTGTACAGTCATACCCACTGACATCTAACTGCTGTGGTCACAAAGCTTCACGGGTATTTCTACAACTGTTTCCATCAATTTCACATTTTACTACCCACAAGAGTTCTATATCATCTGTACACCTAATGGACAGCAAGGAGAGCAAACCAGTCAATCCTAAGGAAGATCAACCCTGAAAACTCACTGGAAGGACTGATGTTGAAACTGAAGCTCCGATACTTTGGCCACCTGATGCGAAGAGCTGACTCACTGGAAAAGACCCTGAAGCTGGGCAAGATTGAGGGCAAGAGAAGAGGGCAGCAGAGGATGAGATGGTTGGATGGCATCACTGACTGGACATGAACTTGTTCATGGACATGAACTTGGGTGAACTCTGGGATATGGTGAGGGACAGGAAGGCCGGGCAAATACTATTTATAAGCGTTGTTTGGATCTCAATTCTCAAATGAGCTTAGGAAAATATCTTAATGAAACAACTGGGAAGATTTGAATTCTGAACAGACTGTGTGATGATATTAAAATTACTGTTAATAACTGAGGTGTTAGAAATACACACTAATGTATCTATAGGGTGTGCATCAAGGTAATCCAGGGAACAGTGGGGAACAGATGGAACAAGGCCAGACACAGGCTGACAGCTGCTGAGGCCAAGGCAGGGGGGAAGGTCTGTTACACCGTGTACTCCTCTCTGTGCACACCTGACGTTTTAGTGAAAGACTGTAAAAGATGAGGGATGTAATATGCCACTAAAAATCAACCAAGGCAAATAATGGACTTTTCCTTGCTACTGTATTTCCACAGTCTACTTGTTACCATGTGAGCACCAGGCACTAAACACTTTGGCTTTGCTCTTTGATGGTCATTTTCTTCTTTTCCTATAAGCAGGTAAGTTCATAGGAAAAACAGATCACCATGAGGGATATTAAAAAAGAATTAAAGATATCTACAATTAAAGAATTAAAGAATATCTACAATTCTGAGATAACTACTATGGATTGTTAATATTCTGGCACACATTCCAATTATTTTTCTCAGTATATACATTCTATACAGCCTATAAACTTTTGAAAAAATCATTCTATTAATATGGGTTTGTGACCAGTTTTTTTCCCTCCACTTACTTTGATTAAAGAGCATTTTACCAACATGCTTTTATAATCCCTACTCAGATGAACTGACATTCAGCTTGGAAACTGGCATGCTTTGTGGACACTTTTTCATTTGCGCCTCATTTACCTATCAGACAGCCACTTCATATAGTGATGTTATATCAAAATTTTGCAAATACTTGTGTAAAATACAAGGTATGGGCTAAATATAAAATATGGGCTAAATGCTTAAATTAGCCGATCTAATTTTGATTGGGGTGGAAGGAGGCATTTCAGCTGCCTATCATGACAAGCTGGGTTCTTTTTCTGCCCTAAGGGACTCGGAGAGCAGTGCTGGACTCTGCAGAGCAGGTCCTATTCCCATGGAGGCTCAAGCCCCGTGGAGTCTGGCCTATGGTTCAGGTGAGGGACTGAAACGAAGCAGGGGATAGGGCAATGGGAAAAAAAGATGGGTGAAGAAGGAATGTGAAGACCGGGGTTACTTTCATTTTTTCAGATAACCATAGGATGGGGACAGGAAGACACACAAGAGTCGACTGTAACAATCTTAGACAATCTTCTCTTAGACAGAGAAGAATGTAAGGGGACAAGGCTAGTGATATTAGAGATCTCAATTATTTGCTGTTGGATATGCAAAGAAACACATCATAACCAAGCTCACTTTTATTTATAAAATCTATTTCAAGTGTTCATAAGAGAGGTTTGCTTTATTCCATGAAAGTAAGTGAAACAGATATTCTAACAACTCTTTCACAGTAGTAACAATAAAACTCTGTAACAGTGACTGTTTGGGAACAAGGCTCCATGTGTCAAATCTAACACAACAGCCACTGTTTGCAGAGTGCTCACTCTAGTGGTGCCAGACAATGCCCTAAAACAAGCACTCAACACACATGATGTCATTCAGTTCTATTAACACTTCTGAGGTTAGTGGTATGGTCTCCATGTCACAGATGTGAACATCAAGACCTCGCCTGCTTAACTAACCTGGCCTGAGATACGCACCTAGTCAGCGGCAAAGCTGATATGGAAACAAGTCCGATTACAGGCCCATGATGCTAATGATTACGCCCTAATGCCTCCAAAGCCTGTATTAAGGTGAATAAAAATAATATACATCAATCAGCTATATGAGGTCACACAGTCTGGCTTACAGCAGTATAATTCTCAGTAGAGGGGCTACTTATAAAAATAACTGCATTGCACTCTCTCATCCCAAGCACCACATCACTAAGGGCCAGACCTCCTCCTGGTGAGCTGGATGAGCCTAGACCACCTCTCCCAAGACTCTGCCTCAGCAAGGTGAAAAGTGGACCACAAAGCCTGACACAGTGGTCAACAGCAAGGGACAGCAGAAAGACACTAAACACTTAAGTGGGAATCAGACCTCAGCTCCAGGGCTGGTTCTAACATGTACTGGTCACAGGGTCTTAAGCAAGAACTCTTTTTTTAAAAAACAGATTCTTCACCTGACCTAACAAGACAAAAGCTAATAAAGTCCCTTCTGCCCCCTCTGAGGGGACAGCTGCAACACTCAGATGAGGCATGGCATGAGACACCTTGTAAACATCAGCACAACCAGGGCTCCTCCTGTGAGAACCCCAGAAGCTGTCCCAAATGAAGCCTGTGCTTTCCCCCCAAGACATACTCACCTGTGTGCAAACAACCATCTGGAGAGAAATGAAGCAATAATGGGGACTCAGGACAGATGGAAGGAAGATGGTGCACGACAGCACCCTTGGTTCTGGGCCAGCCTTGATCAGATACACCCACGTAACACAGCTGGGTTCATGGAACAATGAGCTCTCACACAATGCTAACAATCCCTCCTGGACTTTATCATTAACACACTAAAATCTTGTAACAGAAAAGATAACTTGGTTTATACCTTATTCCAGCCGCTGGCATGAACTGTGGTCTCCAGTGTACATTCCCGATATGCCTGATATGTCACTGGCCTGTAGAGATTTTTTTTAAAAATCTGTGTCACAAAGAAGGAAAATTCTAAATTTCCAGATGAATAAATATACAGTCACTACTCTGCTGTAGAACTTGCACTAAAGTAACACAGATGATTCAACAGATAATTTTCTATGAGACTGGCTGTTACCATTTGCTATGCATTTTTCTTTAAGCATTCTCTACAGGTGAGATTTATGCTACCAGCTTGGGAAAGCAGTTCACAACATAAGAAAAATAACAAATTTTTTGTAATTGTTTGAATTTTATCCAACAAGATTTCTATGTAGCAGATAAATATACACTCAGGTTATTAATAGAATCAAGTAAGAGCAAACAATAAAAATGATCTCATTAATATGAAAGAACAATTTAAACTTTTAAAGGCAAAAAATGTGAAGTATTTAAAACTTTTACAGAGACACTGTCACTGGAAGACTTTTCAAACTGGAGGCACAAGAAGGCAAATAAACACGCTACTTTAGATCTGGAGTCACTGACACCAGCTCCAGAGCAAGGCTTTCCTGTCCATTCCAGTCACACAGACACTCGGCTACTGAGGGGATGCGAGTACTGTGTTCTAAGCCTGGGTTTCTGTGCAAATCAACAACCACAACAGATACGTGGCAGCAAGATGAAGGCACCAAGTGCTTGCATAACAGATTTAATAAAAATTTACCTCCACCCACCTTTTGTGGGCAAAGAATTAACACAGTTGTTAAAAAAAGGAGAGGAGTCCTGCTTTTAAAGGATTGTAAAATTCACTCCAAAGGCATTTTCTGCTTTGAACAACCTGATCACTTCAGTCTTTTGAACAGTTAAGACTTATAACAGGTACACTTCTTGGTAGCTTACTGTTATGTTTTACATTTTAATACATTTGTGCTTTATATCCTAATACACACTAAGAAACTGAAGCTCAGAAAAGCTAAGAGACTATCCCAAATCCAGAGATGGCAAAGAGCAACACAGAACAGGAATTCACACCCAATGAGCTCTGGCTCCAAAGGCCACAAGGTTCCTGTTTTCAATCAGGGTTTTGACATGGTCATGATGACAGTGATGCCCCTGGTAGCTGGCCAGCATCTGGACTGTGATGGGAGAGGAACACACCAGACTGCAGAGACTCACTAAGAAAAAAGACCCTACAACAGCTCACCAATGATTTCTGTAATGGATACATGTTAAAACTAGAATATTTTTAACACTGAGTTAAATACAATATATTTTAACATCTACATTTAATTTTTTTAATACAGCTGCTAGAAAATGTCAAGTTACATACATGTGACCTTCACTTCCCTGCTGGACAGCGCACAGGTCTGGACGTTTCAGAGAACAGCTCTGACGACACACATGTGGCCCTCTTCTGTAAGTCTGTGTGACAGTGTACCACAGGGACACTGAAGTGCCAAGACCATGGGTCGCCTTTCAAGTAAGATATTATGTACGACCTTCCTGCTGTCACATTTCCACTAACATACTCGGAGAACAGCTGGAAGACCTGGGCTGACACTAGGTGGCCGTGACACTGGACTCCAGCAAACAGGCTACCATCTGCTGCTCATGTGCTCCCTGCAGCTCTACTTGGTCCCTTCACTTCCTTTCCTGAACTGAACTGTCCGCTGCTGCTGGGCGGCACAGGGGTCCTGATGGGGAGTTTATCAGGCTAAATGACGTTAGCATCCGCCAGAATTAAACATGATTTGAAACGTTGTATGTACACATATACATGCACATTAAAGATTCAGCAGATTAAAACGTTCAAAGGAAAATTTAAACACAGAAAAACAAGCCTGATCTAATGAGCAACTTGAACTCTGCAAAGAAGAAAACTGAGGAGCAGAACTTTTTAAAATTTAAACTTCTTTCTTTCTTTTGCCATTCTGTGAGGCTTGCAGGCTTAGGGATTGAACCTGCACCCTTGGTAGTGAAACTGCAGAGTCTAACCACTGGAGAGCCAGGCCAATTTGAAAAAAAAAAAGGACCTTCAAACTGCTGGTGCTTGGCTATGTGAAGAGTTCACAATTAATTTTCTACTTCAACAAAACTGGAGGAATAAGTGGTATTTTCCACCTTAAAAGATACGGCCACCAACCTGTATAATACTTCTAGTTCATCATCAGTTATTCTCAAGGTATTAGTAACTTTTTAGACTTGCTAAGCTACAGGGGAAAACAAAACAAATATTCATCCAAGACTATATTTTTAAAAATATAATTTACTTTGCAATGAAAAGGTACAATCTTTTCCTGTGGATCATGAAAAGGACTCCGAAAACATATAATCCTGTCCTTCACATATTTTTACATATATAAAACTATACTGTTTCTCAGAGAACTGAAAATATCCCCGGTAAAGTTAAAATTGACACAGAAACTAAGATGGAGGGAAATGATTGACACAAATAATCTGCATCAAGGTTGGGAACAATTTTTTACCTCATGCTTCTCAGTTACTTTACTCCCAGTCCTAACCGCTTTTATAAGTTTTCTATGTTTATTTTGGCCAAACAGCAGGTTTCTTCAAATCTAAGATGAAATCTCAACATATAAACTAAATGAAAGTATAGCTCCTCTGGCGTCAGAAGCTTGGAAACTGCCTAACCGAATCCGCCCCCCCACAAACACTCCATAATCCACTGCTGGGCTGCACCTCCAAATTTCCTGTGGAAGTTGTAATTCCCGCAGCCAAGATCTTGTCTCCACATTTATTTTTAAAACTTTCTATTATAAACTTAAGAAAATCTAGATATGATTTTCATTTCACTGTTTCCTATGTATAGCTTGGATTTTTACATTTGCTCATGTCACCAGAATGGGAAGAAACAAACTGAATTCTCCTTAAACTCAAATTGCTTCCTTCTAACAAATGGTAACATACACACTTTGCTTTGTCAAGGTAAAGGATCACCTACTACAACAGTGACTTGGCACCTGAATATTGGACCTTTTAGTGAAGGAACTGTCTTCACCTTGTTTTAGCAGCAGTCAATCTTTATTAAAACAGACATTTTTGTCTAATTCATACCAATTTCTTAGCGATTCTAAGCAAAGAATTAAGGGAAAGGAATTTTTAAGATTTTCAATAAATGACTTGGCTTTATATTAACAGACTTTCACGTTGAGCTTCCTGCTTCTGGCTGACAGCTGGAAGAGAAGTTCCCACAGTAGGAGTGTGGCAGAAGCACCATGGGCAGGTGTGCAACTCAAAGTTGAGTCACATCCGGGCGCCCCAAGCTGACACAATGCCAACCCCACCGTACCGTGCGTGAGCCCCAGCCATTCCAGTCATGCTGGCCATGAGACTGGGGGTAAAAAGTGGTTAGGACCAGTGAAACAGCCTGTGGTTACAACCAGGGAAAGCATCTGTTGAAACCAGACAGTCCAACAAATAATACATATTGTCAAATTCATGCTGGAACAATTAAATCACTGCTCAAAATGAAAAAGGAGAGGATTAGGGAAAGCAAAAAAGGAAAAAATGAAGTCAAGTGAGAAAAGTGACACAGTTCACCTAAAATGAGGCGCCTTCAGAGCGTGGAGTGGTGGGGACTTGCCCAAGGGGCACTCACCCGCTGAGCAGTGTCTGCAAGGCCCCAAGCAGAGGTGCCTGCAGCTCCTGCGCCGCCTTCTCCCCAAGGTGGGCCAGGCAGTCCTCCACGGAGCTGTCCGGGTTCGCGGGGCTGAACACGGGCGAGGTGTGGCGGTCGAAGCCTGTGCTGGCGAAGGCTGAAGAAGCAAAAGGAGCACCCTCATGAATGAGCAGGTGAGACGTTGTGCTGTAAGCCCAGGGGATTACTATGTGGACTACTGGGAACCACAACGAAGAGTAAGCCACTGAAAATGTCAGACAATTGTTAAAGAAAGATTTTTATGGAAAATCTCAGTTTCAAGAGAAGAAAAAGGCTAACCTGACACGTCAAAATGCACAGACCAGCTTTGTGAATGACTGCAGACCCGTTCCGACCAAGATGGTGAAGGAGAGGTTTTCCCAGCCCATCGCCCAGGGGGTCTGATGATTTATTTTTGCCTCTAGAAACGTGGCTCTTCTTAAACCAGATTCTCATCAGTTTTTCCCACCTCAGAGGACCTTGTGACCTTCATCCCCTTTCAGAGCAAACTTTTAAACCCACGTGTCCACAACACGGACACGTTTTATAGGTATGGACACCGCCCACCCACACAACCAGCCCCTCCTCCGCTCCTCACTCCCTGTTACACAGCCCTGCTCTGACCACAGTAATAACCCACGCTGGTCCAGGAAGCAGACAGCACGGATAACCCCTGGGAGTGGGGACAAGCTGCATGCTGTCCCGGGAATCTACCCTGCATCCTGTTTGTAGCATCAATCAGCTAAAAATGTCAGGAAAGAAAAATAAAAGAAGATTAACGTTAGGTTTCTGGATTTCTATAAATTTATATTCTTTCCTTACTAACGGAGCTGATTTATAGACATGATTTCTATTTTTTCTTGTTAAAAATTACTGGGCAGGGAATTCTTTGGTCCACTAGTTAGGACCAATACTTTCACTGCCAGTGGCCTAGATTTAGATTTGATCCCTGGTTGGAGAACTATGATCCTACAAGCAGTGTAGGGAAGCAAATCAAATCAATCAAATCCCATCAATACAATCCATTCATAATTGTAATTGGATCCATAATCCAATCTAATCTATCCCACTGGATTAACCCCATCAATAAATCAAGTAAATCCAGTCAATGCTACTTTACAATTAATACAGTACGTTGCCAATATAACTTTCATATGCACTGAGAAGCCAAAAAATTCATGTAATTTTTTTATTAAAAACATCTACTCTACTGCAGTGGTCTGAAAGCAAACCCACAGTGTCTCTGAGGTATGCCTATTTCCAATTTCAATTCCAACCTGCTACTCTAGCCATCCTATCTCACCTGAGGGGGAGGGGAAAAAACTCAGAAATTGGCATGAAGTTCACAGCCCAGAGGCATAAGCTCACTAAAGACTGAGACCTAATCACAGGGTCCCAGAGAGCTTCCCCCGACAGCCCAACACCACATCCCTAAACGGTGATTTACAACAGTCCCTGTTATTCAGTCAAATCAAATCAATCCCATCCCATTCCATAAAATCCATCAAAATTAAATAAATCAAATCACTCAAATCAAATAAATAAAATCTTATCAAATAAAAAAAAAAGTGTGTATGTGTGAATGACCCTTGAAAATAATGTGCTAAGTGAAAGAAGCCAGTAACAAACCACTACTCAGTGCGTGATTCCATTTACATGTAGAACCTCACAGGAAAATGTATGGAGACAGAAAGCAGATTAGTTGGGGATGAGTATGGTGGGGAGTGGAAGCAGATGGGAAGTCACTGTTAACTTATACAGTGTTTCTTTGGGGGATGTTAACAATGTTCTAATTTTAGACTGTGCTGATGGTTGTACAATTCTGTGAATATATTAACCACTGAATTGTGTACCTTTAAAATGGATAAATTTTTGGTATGTATCTCAATAAAGCTTCAAAAATTATTTATGGAAAGCAAACCAAGATATAACCCAGCACTGCTCTGGTGGTACAGTGGTTAAGAATCCGCCTGCAATGCAGGGGACACGGGTTCAATCCCTGGTCTGGGAAAATTCTACCTGCCACAGAGCAACTGGGCCCCTGCTCCACAACTGTGAGCCTGCACGCCCTGGAGCCTGCGCTCTGTAGTAAGAGAACGCACCACAGTGAAGAGCACACCCCCTCACCATAACTAGAGACAGCCTGCATGCAGCCACGAAGACCCAGCAGAGCCAAAAGTAAAATAAAAATAATTTTAAAAAAAAGAAATAACCCAAATGCTCCCCTCCATAATAAGGGAAAGACTGAGTAAATCTTTGTTTGATATATGGATTCTTAAAGTTTTCAATTTAATGTTAAGCACAAAGTCTGTGGCCATAAAATCACAGGCACACTGCTGCGACCACCATCTACAATATATGCATGAGAATGAAGGCAGCACGCTGACAGCTCTCTCTCTAATGTTATTAATACAAAGATAAATCACGCTGAACGGCAAGTACCTTAACGTGACTGTTGAGTCCAATACTTACCACCAAAAAAGGGTCCATCTCATCTGCTGGGTATATTTTGGAAACTTATTAATATAAACAGACCCCCCAGGAAAGGAAAAGGTACCTTCTAGTTTCACCACTATAATCCTAGACCCAAGAAGTTATGTAATGTTGTGAACACTCAAATGTAAAAAAACAAATGAAACCACACCAAACAGACACACTAATTAACTAGGAAATAAGAATAGAGAGACCTTCAGAAATTTCTTTGTCCAGGGATTTGAGCTCTTCTTCAATTTCAGTTTTAACTTTTAATAAAACTTCTTGATCCAGAGATTGTGAAACTGTATCTTGCTGAACCCCTGAAAGCAACAAGAAAGGTTACAATAGAAAGACAGAAAACATTAGGACATGGGTAGGATGTTTAAGCATTAAGTCGGAAAGTACAAAATCAAAACTCATTATCATGCCCAGGGGCTAGAAGAATCGGAAAAATGAGGCGGCTGAGGCCAGGCAGGGCACCACTAGCCCATCCCTGGAGAAGCTGTGACTGGAGCTTAGGCCTCAGGCCAGTGTGAGGACAGAATCATCAATTCAGCCTGTGTCCTCGTCCTCCGGTTGGGCTGCCAGGAAGATGACAGCTCAGAAACATTTCTGACATATAGAGAAGAAAACCTGAAAGGCTATCATGTTCCCTTACCTTCATATCTTCATACAAACTGCAGTCCAAGAGAAGGCCCATGATCAACAAAGCATTTGTATCTTCCAACTTAGGAAAACCATGAACATAACCAAGTGTGAGGCAAAAGCTACTCTCACGCAGTAAAAAGAAAGGAAGGGTTTAGTCTGTAGCACAGAAAGGAAAACAAAGAGGACTAACCAAAATAAAACTCAGATCCTCAAAAGGGTTTTTTTTTTGTCGTGGAAATTATAAAATTCCTTAGGTATTTCTACCAGAAATGCAACAGAAAGGATCCCCTCATGGTCACGGTTAATATATATTTGGTTAAATGACATTTCATTTAACATTTCTGCCTATGTAAATATCTTAGTTGAAACTACATAAATAAAAATTTTAAAACATTACCTACAACAATATGCTACTAAGCAACCAATGGATCACTGAAGAAATCAAAATGGAAATCAAAAATGCCTGGAGACCAATGAAAATGAAAACACAACCCCAAATCCATGGATTAAAGATTTATAAGACCTGAAACCATAAAATTCTAGAAGAAAACAGGTAGTATGCACTTTGACATGGATCTTAGCATTATTTTTTTGGCTATGTCTCCTCAGGCAAGTGAACAAAAGCAAAAATGAACAAATGGGACTACATCAAACTAAAAAGCCTTCGCATGGTGAAGAAAACCATGTGCAAAGCATAAAGGCAGCCTAATGAATAGAAGATATTTGCCAACGATAATATCTGGCATATATAAAGAACACACACAGCTGGAAATTAAAAAAAAAAGAAAGAAAAGAAAAACCTCAATTTAAATTGGGCAAAAGACCTCAATAGGTATTTCCAAAGACACAAAGATGCCACCAGGCACATGAAAAGATGTTCAACATCACTAAATACAAGGAAAATGCAAATCAAAGCCACACTGAGATTATCACCTCACACCTGTCAAAATGGCTATTACCAAAGAGACAGTAAATAACAAATACTGGCAAGGTGGTACACTGTTGATGAAAATGGAGATGATACATGTGGCTGTAACTGATACAGTCAATATGGAAACCAATACAGAGGTTCCTCAAAAAGTTAAAAACACACTACCATAGTATCCAACAATTCTACTTCTAGATATTATGCTGAAGAAAATAATTCAAAAAGATATATGTGTGTATACATATATATACGGGGCTTCCCTTGTGGCTCAGCTGGTAAAGAATTGGCCTGCAATGTTGGAGACTTGGGTTCGACCCCTGGGTTGGGAAGATCCCCTGGAGAAGGGAAAGACTCCCCACTCCAGTATTCTGGCCTGGAGAATTCCATGGACTGACTGCATAGTCCATGGTCACAGAGTCAAACACTACTAAGCAACTTTCATACACACACACACACACACATACCCTGAAGAAAAAGAAATGCAAAAAGGCAAAATGATTGCCTGAGGAGATACAAATAGCTGAGAAGAGAAGAGAAGCAAAATGCAAAGGAGAAAAGGAAAGATATACCCATTTGAATATGAGTTCAAAAGAACAGCAAGGAGAGATAAGAAAGCCTTCCTCAGTGATCAATGCAAAGAACTAGACGAAAACAATAGAACAGGAAAAGATTAGAGATCTTTTCAAGAAAATTAGAGATATCAAGTGAACATTTCATGCAAAGATGGGCACGATAAAGGACAGAAATGGTACGGACCTAACAGAACCAAAAGATATTAAGAAGAGGTGGCAAGAATACACAGAAGAACTATACAAAAAAGATCTTCATGACCCAGATAACCACAAAAGAGTGATCACTCACCTAGAGCCTGACATCCTGGAATGTGAAGTCAAGTGGGCCTTAGGAAGCATCACTATGAACAAAGCTAGTGGAGGGAATGGAATTCCAGCTGAGCTATTTCAAATCCTAAAAGATGATGCTGTGAAAGTGCTGCACTCAATATGCCAGCAAGTTTGGAAAACTTAGCAGTGGCCACAGGATTGAAAATGGTCTATTTTCATTCCAATCCCAAAGAAAGGCAATGCCAAAGAATGCTCAAACTATTGCAGAATTACACTCATCTCACACACTAGCAAAGTAATGCTCAAAATTCTCCAAATCAGGCTTCAACAGTACGTGAACTGTGAACTTCCAGATGTTCAAGCTGGATTTAGAAAAGGCAGAGGAACCAGAGATCAAATTGTCAATACCCACTGGATCATCAAAAAAGCAAGAGAGTTCCAGAAAAACTCTACTTCTGCTTTATTGACTACGCCAAAGCGTATGACTGTGTGGATCACAACAAACAGTAGAAAACTCTTAAAGAGATGGGAACATCAGACCACCTGACCTGCCTCCTGAGAAATCCATATGCAGGTCAAGAAGCAACAGTTAGAACTGGACATGGAACAACAGACTGGTTCCAGATGGGGAAAGGAGTATGTCACGGCTGTATACTGTCATCCTGCTTATTTAACTTCTATGCAGAGTACACCATGAGCAATGCTGGGCTGGATAAATCACAAGCTGGAACCAAGATGGCTGGGAGAAATATCAATAACCTCAGATATGCAGATGATACCACCTTTATGTCAAAAAGCAAAGAAGAACTAAAGACCCTTTTGATGAAAGTGAAAGAGGAGAGTGAAAAAGTTGGCTGAAAACAACATTCAGAAAACTAAGATCATGGCAGCCGGTCCCATCACTTCATGACAAATAGAGAAACAATGGAAACAGTGACAGACTTTTATTTTTTGGGCTCTAAAATCACTGCAGATGGTGACTGCAGCCAAGAAATTAAAAGACACTTGCCCCTTGGAAGAAAAGCTATGACCAACCTAGACAGCATATTAAAAAGCAGAGACATTACTTTGCCAACAAAGGTCTGTCTAATCAAAGCTATAGCTTTTCCAGTAGTCATGTATGGATGTGAGAGTTGGACTATAAATACTGAAATGGATGAGATGGCTGGATGAGTCTGTTTCTATTTTGTTATATTTGTTGTTTCGTTTTTTAGATTCCATATATAAGTGAAATCATACGGTATTTATCTTTGTCTGACTTCTTTCACCCAGCATAATACCCTCTAGGCCCATCCATGTTGTCACAGATGGCAGGATTTTATTCTTTTTTAGTGGCTGAACAGTTCAGTTTGGTTCAGTTGCTCAGTCGTGTCCAACTCTTTGTGACCCCATGGACTGCAGCATGCTAGGCCTCCCTGTCTATCACCAACTCCCGGAGTTTACTCAAACTCATGTCTATTGAGTTGGTGATGCCATCCAACCGTCTCATCCACTTCAGCATTCTTGTGGTGAGAACCCCATGGACAGTATCCCACCATACATGTACCACAACTTCTGTATCCATCAGTTTGTCTGCTGACGGACACTGAGGTGGTTTCCATACCTGATTACTGTAGAGAGAGCTGCAGTGAACACGGGTGTGTATCAGTTCAGTCGCTCAGTCATGTCCAACTCTGCGACTCTTTCAGACTCTTTGAACTGAACCTAACTCAACTATTCAGACACTAAAAAAGAATGAAATCCTGCCATCTGTGACAACATGGATGGGCCTAGAGGATATTATGCTAAGTGAAAGAAGTCAGACAAAGACAAATACCATATGATTTCATTTATATATGGAATCTAAAAAACAAAACAAATGAACAAATTTAACAATTTGTTTAACAAAACAGAAACAGACTCATAGAGAACAAACAGGTAGCTACCAGAAGGAAGAGGGGTGGGGGTGATTAAAAAAAAAAGAATGGTAATTAGCCCGCTTGTGGCGATCACTTCACAATGAATGTTTATATGAAACCATCACACTGTACACCTTAAATATATGCAATTTTTATTAATTCCTAATAAAGCCAGTAAGTTTTTTAATTACATAAAACAAAAACAATCTTATGCAAAATTGGAAGACAATGTATCCTATGAGGAGGGTAATCTTTATAAATTCTCGTCAAGCATAAAAATCTATCTTGGCGTATGGGCTTTTTGTTTTACTCTGGTAAAACACACCTAACAAATTTTACCATCTTATCATTTTTAAGTCTACAATTCAGTGGTATTAAATACACTCATAATGTTGTACAGCCATCACTGCCATCCACCTCCAGAGCTCTTCATTTTGTAAAACTGAAACTTCAGACCCATTAAACAGTAACTCTCCATTGCCTCCTCTCTTCAGCCCTTGGCAACCACCACTGTGCTTTCACTATATAATTCTGACTACCTGAAGGACTTTACCTAAGTGCAATCAGATAGCGTTTGTATATTAGGGACTGGTTTAGTTCACTTACAGACAGACTTGTAATAAACTAAAGGTGGTTATAATTAAAACAGGTTTTCCTTTTAAAAGTAATTTGTAGTTCAGATGGCTCTACAATGGCACTGACTAATATAATCACACTAGTCAGTAAAGTTCCAGAACATATGCAACATTATTAAAATAAGGCAAACACAAATCAGAAAATTATTGTGGGCCAATCTTATTTCTTTCAAAGAAATTCTCTCTCTTCCTTCTGGCTTTCTGGAAGGCATCTCAATAGAGGGGAAGGAAAGTTTTCCAGCCAAGCATTCCAGTTCATTACACAGGACCACAGGCAAGGAAAATAGCCTTCTTGAACCTTTGCTGTTACTTAAACAGGAAAACATGGAGAAGGAAATGGCAACCCCCTCCAGTATTCTTGCCTGGAAA